AACCATTCATTAGAAATAAGTAGTTGTATAGCACGTCCTAGGATAGTTATTGGACTAGTAACTGTAGGTGACACAAAAGAAATTTAAAAATGACCTTTGTCTTAAAAGTACTTCTCTAGGTAGGAAAACAAAGCAGAAGAAATGTGTAAGAAAAAAATGGAAAAGAAAATCTCACTAATGTGTAAAATGGTGACAGCTACTGTGTATTTAGCTTAGCTCTGGTGGGGCACGGCGCTGAGCCCTTGACATGTAGCATGTATCTCATTCACAACAGCTCCATTTTACATATGAGGGAACCGAGGGTAGGAAACTTCAGTCACTTGAAATTAGTATTTAAGCCTCCATCTGATACCAAATCATGCTCTTAGCTATGTAGTATTGCTTGCTTGACAGAGAGTAAGGGGTGGGATACTTATTTTGCTTTACTTTTCAAATAATCTGCCACCTGCTATTTTTTCCAGCTTTATTGTTATAAAGAACATATAACATTGTGTAAGTTTTAGGTGTACAATTTATTGAGTTGATACACTTATATTTTGCCAAATGATCACCGCCATAGTGTTTTAGTTAACACCTTCATCACATCACATAATGACCATTACTTTTTGGTGGTGAGAACATTTAAGACCCACTTCCTTAACAACATTCCTTTACTTTTATATATTCCAACTGCAAACATCTTGAAAACTAAAATGATGTTACATAATTCCTTTGTACCCCCCCAGGATCTTGCACAGTGCTGGCAACATTATAAGTGTTCCAACTTCCCCAAGGAGGAACTGCAAGCCAGGTCACCAAAATCTTGGCAACAGCAGCATAAGCTTGAGGTACTCTACGTTTTCTAAAAGGAAGAGCATAATGTATAATGGGTTTCAAATAGTTTCCTCATTTGCATGCCCACAAAAGTCTTGGTGCCCTTTGAGTTGTTTTATGCCCCTGGAAGTTTTCAGCTGCCCCTTGTTACAGTCTACCTCCTGTAGTTACAGTCTACCTCCTGTAACTTTAAGAGTCAACTTTATCTCCACTTCTTCTGTAGAGGAACCTGATCTCCTAAGATAGAGGGGACCACTCCCTCCTTTGTGTTTTGTTCCTTCTCATCCCTTACCTCTTCATAGCACACATTACACTGTAGGTAACACTGGTGCGTGTGTGTATGTGTGTGTGCTTGTGTGCGTTTACATGAAAGTCTGGAGGAGTTCCTTGCCATCTGGTGGGGGAGATAAATATGTAACATAATATACATCTCATATCGTGGAAGTACGAATTTACATAAGATATCCAAGACATCTCATGGGTGACACAATATTCATCGAGTGTGTTACAGACACTCAATAATTTTTTCTGATTATAATTTAATCTCTGTATTAGGAGATGGTATAATTTAGTGTAGGGAAGGAAAAAGTTTTCCCGTATGTCCTTAGGATCCCTGACCGGGTCTGAAAATTAAATTGACAAAGACAGATTAACAGGAGAAAAGCATACACATTTATTTAATGTAAGTTTTATGTGACATGGGAAACTTTGTAAGGAAATGAAGACTCAAGGAAACAGGCCTGTATATTTTTATGCTAGGTTTAATGAACACTGGACAGTCACGTATTAATATGTTAGATCAGAAAGTATGAGGCAATCATGAACTGGGGGAAACGTAGCAAGTCCTGCTTGTTAGGATTCTTCTCCTTGTCCCTTTGTCTTCAGAGATAAGAATGCTCCTTTCCTCCAGGTATAGGGAAGGCACCTCACACAGGAGTGTTCACGGCCTGTTGCAGAGGAGAATGTGGTAGCAGGGGAAAAGATCAGAATGACCTTCTTGCTTCTACTGTTTTTTTCTAACTCCTTCAGTTTAAAGTATTCAATATGTCATATTTTGAAGTAGCATGTCCTGAACCCCATCATTAGTAAAGCATCACTCAAACTGCACTATTAGAAACTCTTTGAGATTTTAATAGCTGCTTAATGGGGGGGGGCGGGGAGGGTTTAGTGGCCAAATAAGTTTGATGAATTCAAGATTGAATAAAGTTAAACTCTTTAATTTGTACTTTAATTTCTTCTTGCAATACTTCTTAAAACTCTTACTTTTAACATTTATTCATTTTTGAGACACAAAGTGTGAGTGGGGGAAGGGCAGAAAGAGAGAGGGAGACAGAATCCACAGCAGGCTCCTAGCTCTGAGCTGTTAGCACAGAGCCCCACACAGGGCTCTAATGCATGGACCACGAGATTATGATCTAAGCTGAAGTTGGACACTTGACCAACTGAGCCACCCAGGTGCCCTACTGGGTGCCTACTTCTTAAAACTCTTAATGTGCCCGTGTGCATTGTCAGTCTCCAAAAGTGAATCCAGTTTGCAACATTTCTCAGTCATATTTGGCCACGGAATTCTTTCTTCTTCAGGCATTATAGAACACAGTGTGGAGACACTTGATTTCATGGCTGAGAGTAAAATATGATATTGATGTCTTCACATAGTAATTGCTTGATTTTCATCACCTCTTTAAGCCTTAGTGTCCTCATCTACACATTCAGGTAGTACCCATATTGTTGACAAAATAAAGAGTTGTAAAATGTCCAGGAGTCTCCTGTAGACGTTAGCAGTTATGATTGTTAATAATAATATTCCAGGAGCTGACTATTCATCGTTAGAAGCCCCATCACATGGCAGGGGACTGGATCTGAAGACTTACACACGACTCAGCTTTAGTATGTAGGTGGCCCAAATGCTTCCCTACCACCTGTATCCTTTGACCTTTAACAGGATGAGTCAATATTAGATCAGTCTTATTCTGGCCGTGGTCCCTCTGCTTATCTTGTCTTATGAAAAACAAAAATAAGATTAAAGAAGAAATGTTTGAACTAAGTAACCTCTAGAGTTTATGCTCTCTAAAATTCTAAGGGGGAACAGAAATAATTCTCAGGCTGCAACAGATGGAGTTTTTGTACTTTCTACCTGGGCTGATGAGCACAAAAGTCCTTGTCATGCACTAAAGCAACTTTATTCACATTGTATTCTTGATATAAATGAGTTTGATTTTTGTTCATCTGTTATTTTAGCCCACTGTGTTAATTATTACATATGACTGTATAACACTATAACCTAGACTGTATGCCTGGGAATCATTTTGATACATCTCCTCCCTGATCTCTATTTATGAGCAAGAGCAGCTGTGGGGTGGTTCTTTATGTAGGATTAAGAAATATTGCAGTTCTTGAAATAAGCCAGATGTTTTTATTTTCAACGGAGAAGACCACACTTAGTAAAACATTTATTTACAAGCTTCACAACAAAACAAAAGATTGTAAGAAAGCTTTCAAGGGACATGGGTCACCGAAACCAAGTGAACACCACAGTTTTTTCCCCAACTAAATAGCCTAGAGGACATTGCAAAAGACACACAAAAATTGACCTTGTTCTGGCTGTAAATATTTGTAGATTGAAATTATAATGACCAGTGAATTATTGTGAGAGTCACTATCTTGAAGAGTGACTTCCACATTGACCTTATTTGGTTTCTATCCACTTTTCCAACAATATGTCCAGGAATATACACATATAGAAGGTGATTTTTAAAAGCACATCCTGAAATTAGTGCTTATGCAACTTGCAGGAACATTTTTCAGACAGACTCCTTTCAAACAAAAACAAAACAGCCACTTTTTTTTTTTTTTTTACAAATAGTTTATTGTCAAGTTGGTTTCCATATAACACCCAGTGCTCATCCCCACAAGTGGTCTCCTCCATGCTCATCTCCCTCCTCCTCCCCCCCACACCCATCAGTCCTCAGTTTGTTCTCAGCATTCAAGAGTCTCTCATGGTTTGCCTCTCTCCCTCTCCCCACTATTTCCCCCCTTCTTCTCCCCCATGGTCCTCCGTTAAGTTCCTCCTAATCCTCCTATACGTGCAAACATATGGTATTTGTCCTTCTCTGCCTGACTTATTTCACTCAGCATAACACCCTCAAGGTCCATCCATGTTGCTACACATGGCCAGATTTCATTGTTTCTCATTGCCATGTAGTATTCCATCATATAGATAAACCACATCTTCTTGATCCATTCATCTGTTGATGGACACGTAAGCTCTTTCCATGTTTTGGCTACTGTGGAGAGTGCTGCTATGAACATTGGGGTACATGTGCTCCTATGCATCAGCACTCCTGTATCCCTTGGGTAAATTCCCAGCAGTGCTATTGCTGGGTCATAGGGGAGCTCTATGGTTAATTTTTTGAGGAACTTCCACACTGTTTTCCAGAGGGGCTGCACCAGTTTACATTCCCACCAGCCACTTTTTTTTAACTGAAGTATAGTTGATTTACAATATCCTAGTAGGTTCAGGTGTACATCACAGTGATTTGATAATTGTAGACATTACCAAGAAATGCTCCCCGTCATAAGCTTAGTTTCCATCTGTCATCATACAAAGTTATTACAATATTATTTAGTATATTTCTTATGCTGTACGTCATATCCCTGTGACTTACTCATCTTATAATTGGAAATTTGTACTAACATGTACACCTACTTCACTCAACTCCTCTGTACTTTGATACCTGATAGTTTATTATCTGTATCAAAAGAACCACGCCTTAAAAATCGAAACTGAAAATACTTATAACTTGTGAGTAATTCATCATTGGAGATACCACATTTGGTATTCCAACAGGGTTTTTGTTTGTTTGTTTTTGTGTTTCTTCCGGTGCAAAAAGGTGATTTTATTAAAGTTAGGGGGTCAGGACCCAAGGGCAGAAAAAGCTTCAGGAACAGTGGTTACTTTCAAAGAAAATCTCCATACGAGCAACAATTTCTTGTGTGCCTTTTCCTTCTCTTTACCTTCCCTCCCTTTCCCTTTTCTTTTCCGTCTTCTCCTTTTCTGTGTGTGTGTGTGTGTGTGTGTGTGTGTGTTTTGGGGGGGAGGGGGTTGCTTTTGGTTTTTACAACCAAGCTGTTGATCACTTCGGAATAAGGCAGCCCCAGCGGGCGACCCCGGCGGCTTCTGACGACGCTCCTTCCGCCCTCGGCCCCAGCGAGGTTTCCGGAAAGGGCGCCCGCGCTGGGCCCGGGAGCCGCGTCGCAGGGGAGAGGCGGGTGAGTGGACGCTCTCTTCCCCCCATCCCTGCTCCTGGAGAGGCCCTGAGTGGGGAGGGAGGCGGGTCCCGGGGCCGCAAGAGGGGGGGCAGCGCCCGGCAGGGATCCAACGGGTCTCCACGGTGACACAGCCGCCGGGGTGGGTGAGGGGCGGGAGTGAAGCGGGCCGCGTCCGTCTGTCCACCGCCAGCCCCTCCCCCGCTCTAGCCTCTGACCCTGTCTTCTTAGTGTGGTTTGCTTAATTTTGGAAATTGAAACTTAAAATGGTTGGTGTTTCCCCACTGTTCCTGTAAGTGTCTCCCGAGGTGGTTCTTAGGGGAAATTTGATTCCTTAAGATTTACTCTCCTTGGCAGGTGCAGGGCTGGGCACAAAGTTGTGCCTCACTTTTTGGAATATGCAAGGGTTTTCTGGAAAGAGCTATCCGAAGGAGAATACGCTGTTTTTCTGTCTCTAGAACATGCATGAGTTTTGTTTTGTTTTGTTCTGCTTTAAACTATATATGTGTGCCACCTTTGTATTAAAAACCACTTCCTTTCTTCCTTCCCCTCCTTTCCTGTCATTTGCTGCCAGGCTGCATATGTAAGGATTCCATTCTATCAGGCCTGGCACAAAGTGATATGAGTATATTGGGAAAATAGGTGATAGGTGGGTGGTGATGATTTGCATTGTTTTTTCATTCGCTGTGGTAAGAATGACCATAGACTTAGTGGCTTAAAAACCACAAATTTATTATCTTAAAAGTCTACAGACTAGAAGTCCAACCTGGATCCCACTGGGCTACAATCAAGGTGTCTGCAGTGTTGCTTTCCTTTCTGGAGGCTTCTGGGATAAATCTGTTTTATTGTGGGTTTTGTTGTTGCTGTTTGTTTGTTTCCCCAGTTTCCGTATGCTGCCTACCTTCCTTGGCTTAGTGATATTCTTTCTCCATCTTTAAAGGCAGCAACACTGCATCTCTCCGAACATTACATTATCCTGTTGTCACATCGCACTCTGACTCTGTTCTCCGGCTTTTCTCTTTTACTCTTTTTTTTTTTTTTTTTTACAAATAGTTTATTGTCAAATTGTTTCCATAAAACACCCAGTGCTCATCCCCACAAGTGCCCTCCTCCATGCCCCTCCCCCTCCCCCCCATCCATCTGTCCTCAGTTTTTGTCAGCATTCAAGAGTCTCTCATGGTTTGCCTCTCTCCCTTTCCCCCACCATTTCCCCCCTTCCTCTCCCCCATGTTCCTCAGTTAAGTTCCTCCTAATCCTCCTATACGTGCAAACATATGATATTTGTTTTCTCTTTTACTCTTAAGGGCCCTGATGATTTGTATTGGCCCCATGGATGATCCAGGATGGTTTTCATATTTTAAAGTCATCTGATTAGCGACCTTAGTTCAATCTACAACCTTAATTGTAATCTGACATATTCATAGATTCTAGGGATTAGGCATGGGCAACTGGGTCATTGTTTTGCCTACCATCTGAAGGTATAAAAGGAAGTCTCTTACTATACACCCCACTCAAGCAATGAGGGAGGGTATCCAGACACTAAATTTATCAAAAAAAGTTCTGGGAGTTTTTAGTAGACCATTGATATGAGTTAAATATTTGAGAGTCTTTATTGCAAACTCTTAAGAATATTGATTTAAAGAGAAGCAATCAGATGTTGCCATTTTTGCTTTCCAGAAATATAATAAGAGAACTTTACATGCATGAGCAGAACAAATACTAGTTAAGATACCACACGATTCTGTAAATATTGAGTGTTTTCAGGGTGTATGCTTATATTGTGCTCTGAATCAATGCACTGAGAAGTGGACATGGCCCTTTGCCTCAAGGTCATAACCATCTAGTTATGAAAATGACACAGGCACACAAATAATTAAAGCTCTCCAAAAGAGATAAAAGACAGAGAAGTAATTGTCCTTTAGGGGAATCAGGAAAGTCTTTAAAAACTTGGGGGAAATTTGGGATGGACCTTGAAGAACAGTAGAATTTCATTAATGTTGAGAGTAGAGGAAGGACATGACATATTGAGGGACAGGAGGGAAAGGAGGGACCCTGGGAGTGTTCAGTGTGGTTAGGGTACTTAGTCTAGAAGTTGTCTGAATAAGACTAGAAAGTAAGTTTTGGTTAGATTGTGTAAGACCTTGGATGACTGTTGAGTGTCATTAAAAGGATTCTGCAGTTGGTGCAATAGGGAGCTACTGATATATTTTGAAACCATCTCATACAGAAAAGTTACAAGTACAATACAGACAACCTTAGTTTTTCCTGAATTATTTGAGAATAAGATTCTGACTTCAAGACCCATTGCTCTGGAATTCTTGAATATATATTTCCTACAAAAAAGATATTCTCCAGAATTAAATTCAGTGATCAAAATCAGATTAGTATTGATACATTACTGCCATCAAATCCTTGGATCCAATTCACATTTTGACAGTTGTGCTAATAATATCCTGTGTTGCAAAAGGGCCCAATTCAGAACATGTATTGCGTTTAGTTGTGATGTCCCTTTAGTCTCCTTCAGTCTGGAAGAGTTTCTCAGCCTTTCATTGGCTTTCATGAACTTAACACTTTTGAAGAAAACGGGCCAGTTTATCTAATGTTTCTTCATGCTGAGTTTCAGATTATGTATCTTTGGCAGGAATATCATAGAAGTCATGCTGTGTTCTAAGTGCACCCTATCAGATGGCAGATGATTTTGGCTTATCTCATTATTTACTTTGATTATTTTATTATGATGGCATCTGCCTGGCTTCTTCAATATAAAGCTACTTTTTCCCCTTTGAAATTAATATGTTGTGTGGAAGTATTTTGAAACTAGATGGTCCTTTTCTCACCAGAAATTTATGTGTGTATGAATATCAGTATGCACTCATAGATTTTTAATTTACTCAGTGGACATTTTTTTTTTAATGTTTTATTTATTTCTAGGAGAGAGAGAGACAGCGTGAACAGGGGAGGGTCAGAGAGAGAGGGAATCACAGACTCTGAAACAGGCTTCAGGCTCTGAGCTGGCAGTCAGCACAGAGCCCGACGCGGGGCTCGAACCCACGGACCGTGAGATCATGACCTAAGCGAAAGTCGGACGCTTAACCGACTAAGCCACCTAGGCGCCCCAGTGGACATTTTTTTATACTTAATTTATAATGACACTCAATGTTGTTATTTATTTTTATGCTTAACTTATTCCCAGATTTGGCCAGTGAGAACCTCCTCAAGCTGGATTTCATGTCTTTTTGATATGGCCTCATCATTCTTTGAGCACTTCTTTGCTTTCTGGTGCCATTAGGTGCTTATTTTGTATTTTCATGTTCCTGTTCTGGAATCAACCATTTCTCTGAAAATCCTTGGTTCCGTGTAGTGGAGGATGGAATCAGAAACCAAATTCTGTGCTAGGCTAGGTGTACTCATTGCTGTTGTCTTTTCTTCCCGGCCCTCTCATCAGGCAGAGCTAGGGAATATATATATACGGACAGATATGTACAGCATGTATATATATCTCTGTATCTTTCTGTCATTCTGCCTATTGGAAATCATGAGATTACACTTATATCTCCAGTTCTAATCCATAGCATTCATTCTAGTTTTCTGTCTTTCTATATTTATAATTACCTTTCCTGGCAATGAAAAACCTGACTCCTTTTATCTTCTGTGTATTTACTTACTTGAAAAATCTCCTTTATATATGTTTGATTGTTGGAAGCTCCAGGCTTATCTTGTGTATTTCTTGTCCCCTAGGTAGAATCAGCCATTGGTCCAAGGAGCCCTGGTTCTGTTTATTGGAGAACAGAGGAGAAATCAAGATCCAGGTGCTACATGATCCCCTCTGTTTTTGGACACTGCTAGTGTTCACACTGTTTTTTGTTGTTGTTGTTGTTGTTGTTGCCAGTCTTCTATTTTATTTAATTAATTAATTTACTTTTAAATGTTTATTTATTTATTTTTAGAGAGAGGGAGCAGGGGAGGGGCAAAGAGAGAGGGAAAGAGAATCCCAGGCAGGCTCCCTGTTAGGGCAGAGCCTGATGTGAGGCTCAAACTCATGAATGATGAGATTATGACATGAGCGGATATCAAGAGTGGGATGCTCAACTGAGTGGGCCACCCAGGTGCCCCAATATCCTGTTTTATTTTAAGGAGGGATAAATGTTTTTCCTGTTTCTTCTACAGGAATAGTGAGAATTTGGCTCTTGAAATTTTAGAGGATTATATCACAAATTAGTTTTTAATATGCTTTTAAAGCAATAAAAATAGTTGTGATATTCCTTGTCTCAGTTTTGATCTGAGACCTCCATCTTAGTAAATTCATGTGCAAGCAAAAGTTGTTTACTTTTTTTTGTGCCATGGATTCCTTGCCAATCTGATAAAGCCTATAGGCCTTTAAATATTTTTAAGTATAAAATAATATATATGGAATCACAAAAGAAACCAATTATATTGAAACATGATTATGAAAATATTATAAAGGCAAGTTTTTGACATAGTAATAGATATCATTATATTACAGCATATCACAATACCTAGTAATGAGTTTAATAGCTACCATAATCTTGAAGCCAGGTTAAACACAAACAGTATTTCAGGACTTCTGCAACAATTAACAATATTTGATGAAAGTATTTCTGTCCTCATGGTGACTTTTGCCCAGGTGCTACAAATACTGTGTGCCTTGTTGCCTTATGTTCATATCTGAAAAGATATGTTTCAGTCAGAGGTTGTTAGAAGTAAAGATGTAATTTTTTTCCTATTCAGGTGTATGGACTCCTCCCTCCAGGGGAGGATTTGTGAAAACTCCAGATAAGAATTTCTGTACATGCAGAGGAAGGGTGTTTGGGGACATTCTACTCCATTTACATTTGGGGAATACAATAGGAAGAATTAGATAAATCAAAACCTTTGAAAAGACCAAAGTAGCAGTCTTTTAATATGAGGCACCATGTTATGATTAAGATGTGAACCTCAAAGGAATGTTAATACCTATTATTTTCTTTTTTTCTTTTTTAAATTTCAGACATGTCTTTTTTTCCTTTTAAGTTTATTTCTTTGTTTTTTAGAGAGAGATAGATTTAGCACACTCATGAGCAGGGGAGGAGCAGAGATAGAGATAGAGAGAGAGAAAGAGCTGTAGCCTAGAGCCTGATGCAGAGTTAGGCCCATGACTATGAGATCATGACCTGAGCCAAAATCAAGAGTCGGGTGCTTAACTGACTGAGCCACTGAGGGGCCCCTGTTATTTTCTCTTATTGTGTTGAAAAACAAAGGAGTTCTAAAATTTTTTTTAATGTTTTATCTATTTCTGAGAGAGAGAAAGAGAGACAGAGATACAGAATCTGAAGCAGGCTCCAGGCTCTGAGCTAGCTGTTAGCACAGAGCCCAATGCAGGGCTCCAACCCACGACCCATGAGGTCATGACCTGAGCCAAAGTCAGACGTTCAACCAACTGAACTACCCAGGCACCCCAGAAGACAAAGGATTTCTAGAACCCTTTTATGTATGCATAGGTATGAAAGTTATTTGAAATATAGGCATTGTTCAAAATATAAGCCACATGATAATAAAAACTTTGATGGTAGGGAAAAAATAGAGCAAAGGTATATTTCTTCTTCTGTAAAAAAATAAAAGTTATTTCTTCTTGCATTTGTGTATATGTACAATTCTTAAAATATTTACTTTTTGTAATAATTAGGAATCATGGCAGATGATGGAGATAACAAAAACCAAGTTCACGAGGAGCTTTGGTTAGATGAAGAATTTATGAAAGATGAACAAAGAGAGGTAAAAATTACTGGGTACTATTAACAATTAATATGTATCTGTTAGTTTTGCAGGGAGGCATGTTTTGTATGTTTTGGTCCAACATCACTTTGAATTTTTACTTCCATTATTCAAACCTTACAAAAAGAATCATATTTCTGTTCTTTCTCTTACAAGGCTTATAACATTAGCTGTTTTTTCACTCCCTCCCTCCTTTTTTTGATTTGAGAAGTTAAGAGCTTAGTTAGCAATCATCTGATCAGATCCATCAGGAGATGGAGGCTCAGGTAGCTTAAGCCGCTTAACCAGGGCCGTATGTCTGGTATGTCAAGGCAGCTGCACTGTGGGAATCATAGCAAAACATTTTTTAAATTGCTGTTGAGTAACATATGTCCACAATTACAGTGCAATTTAAAAGTCATATTGTTGTCACAAATAACCAGGCAAGGAGTTGATACATAGTGAAGTGAGATTCAGATCTGGGTCTCAATCCTTGCCCTACTATAAAAACGTCCATGACCTTGGTCTAGTGTGAAAGGCAGTTTTCTTGTTTGCATAATGGAGATACTACTACTTGTCAGTGGTAGGAGAATTGTTAGGCGATGATGATGTCTTTCTTTGCCTTTATCACGGTGATAGAAATTTAGTTTCTTTAATTTGTTTAGAAAAATGAAGTCAGGGGCTGTTTAATTTTTTGGTGCTATTTGATATTTTTTAGAGATTAATTGATAAAATTGCAAAGGAAAATATCCAGTTAAAGAAAGAGATCCAAAGTCTTGAGGCTAAGTTACAAGAGACCACCAGAAACTCCCAGGTACCTCTTTAATTATTTTGTATATCACATTTTTAATGGACAGCATTTTTCAGGAAAAACTATTCAGTTACACAGAATTGTAAACACTGTAGTCATTGATGGCATCATTGTTTGTAATAACCCCAAACTGAAAACAAGTCAAGCATCCCTTGCCACTAGATTGAATTATTACTCTGGGGTGTATTCACACAATGGAATACCATACAGCAATGAGAACAAACTGACCACAGCTATATGTAGCCACATGGATGAATTTCAGAAACACGATGCTGAGCCAGAAAACATAAAAGAGGATATACCATATGGTTCCATTTATTTTTATTTTTTAATTAAACTTTTTAAAATGTTGTTTACTCATTTTTGAGAGACAGAGCATAAGTGGGGGAGGGCCTGAGAGAGAGAGAGACACTGAATCCAAAGCAGGCTTCAGGCTCTGAGCTGTCAGCACAGATCCTAACGTGGGGCTCAAACTCACAAACTGCGAGATCATGACCTGAACTGAAGTCAGATGCTTAACCGATGGAACCACCCAGGTGCCCCCATATGCTTTCATATTCATTCATTCATTTATTTATTTGAATATAATTTATTGTCAAATTGTTTTCCATTATGCTTCCATTTAAATAAAGCATGACAGCAGAATGTTAAAAGTTAGCATCCTCGTTACCCTTGGATGCAGGTAGGCACTGGAAGGGAACCCAAGGGGGCTTCTGGGGTCATGTTCTGTTTATTGATCTAGGTGCTGGTCACATGCATGTGATCTCTTTGTAAAATTTCATCTGGCTGTACATTTCTGATAATATACTTTTTTTATATTTATGTGTATGTTTTTAAAGTTTTATTTATTTATATATGGTAATGCAAAACAAAAAAGTGATGGTCATTATCAGTCACTTTTGGATCAAATTCTTGGTCTTCTCATTAAGTTCTTTTTTTGTTCTCATCTAAGTAACTTAAATGAATTTCGCAGTTAAAAATAATTGGACATATATCTTCACTATTTACATCCTCTCCTAAATTTTACTATATTTGAATTAGATGTAACTTTCACCCCTTTTTCTCCATGACAATTCATACTGTTCCTTTAAACAGTTAAAATGCTTAATGCATTGTCATATGTTATTTCTGAAATGGGGGATAGGATATTGAATACCAGGAAGTGGAGTTTCCCATGTTTATGGGACTTGTAGGACACAGTTACAATTCTAGTTACTTCTCAGACTAAAGATAGAATCAGTTAGTCCTGTAACTCAAAGGATCTTGGGAACCCAGTCAGCTCAGTTGATCCAGTTTACAGATAACTGAAACTATGGTCCAAAGAGCATGCATGAGTTACTCTTGGCCAAGTGTGCCCAAGACCAGAGTCAGGCACTTTCATTCCAGACAGCTCTCGACTTTTCTCACATTATTGAGAAACATTCTGCCTTTTCTCAAATACTGCCAATTGTTTTGAAATTGGACTTATAGAAATCAGAAATTCTACTGAAGTTACATGTGAAGATATAGAACAAATGTGAGATTAGGTCAAATAACTCATTGGATATTTCTAATCCCTTTGCAATAACACACACATTTTCTTTCAGCATGTAATGTAATCATGGGAAATAGGAATGCAGACAATAGATTCATTCGTGCATTTATGTATAGTTGTATATGTCTGTTAATCCCAATGATTTTAAACAGGTAAGTATAACCACTTAACTTTACCCTTCAGATTATGAATCTTGATAGTGTCCCTTCACATTTCTATAAATCTAAGTTTCATAATGGTTAAAAAGTTGATGGGCAGATGTTGGGGAAGGGGGAATTTAAATATGACAAATGTTAAATCATATAACTGGAGAGTCTTTGTTTTTGGATGAAATTATGTGGGTTTGCTATTAAAATAAACTTAGTATATATGCAACTTGAATTTACACCACTTTGTAATGAGAATAAATGTACTGTCAAATGATACCCTTGTAGGATACCCTATTATTAGTATAGTTGTTTAAGAGGTACTTGTCCACAGGAATGATGTAGGTGTTAGAATCGAACACCATCCAATATTGGCTAGTTTAAACATTGATTAGAAAAAGTGAGAGATTATATACTTATAATTTCATCTGGGAAATAATATTAAAGAATCAGCATCTGATTACTTTACTGAGTACTTACCTGGGAAGAAGTAATTACTAAAGATATTACTTAAGACCACACGTAGTGTTCTGTGGGGTTCTGAAATCAGTGGAGAATGAATTATTGAATGATCAAATCACATTATCAGAGGAAGGGCTTAAGTTATTTCTTGCCTTGATTTTAATCAAACATTTCTGTTTAAATTAGATTAAAGTGGATATTCCAGAAACAGAGATGAAATTCACATCTTTAGAGAATCCTGAGAATGACAGCCAGTTTTTAAATATCTCTTGTTCATTTCAAGTGAGCTCGCAAGTTCTTTATGAGCTACAGAAAGGACAAGCACTTATCACCTTTGAAAAAGAAGAAGGTATGAGTAATGTTCAAAAATTTGGTCATGTTACTTTTAGAAAACACAGGGACTTTTCAAAGAGCTTTCGTAGATATTTGGCTATTGCTTTATAATTTTAATATTTGTCATTTCATCTCATCTCATAGTAACACCTTGGAGCAGGTAGGATTATCCCTATTTTTTGATGACAGTACTCAGACATTAAGAGCCTTGAGCATGATAACTTGTTCTGAACATGGTGATTCTGGGACTCAAACCCAGGTGTTGTGATGTCCAATACCAGTGTGTTTCTATTCCATCTGCTACCTCCAAATTATACTAGTTAGAATTTTTTTGAGAGAGAGAGAGAGAGAGGCAGAGGGAGAGAGAATTCCAAGCACGCTGCACTCTCAGTAAGGAGCCTGACACAGGGCTAGATTTCACGACCCTGGGATCATGATCTGAGCTGAAATTGGGTCGGACACCCAGCCAACTAAGCCACCCAGGTGCTCCCCCCCTTTTTAGATGGTAATAATGTTTTAAGGTAGTAGAGCTCTACACAGTTCTCAGAGTTCTTAAAGACATCTCATTTCATACTCACTTGACTCTATGAGAGCAACATGATTGGAGAGTTACTATTTACATCTTATAACCAAGAAAACACATTCTCAGATGTTTCAGTGGTTGACCTAGGGGCACATGACCGGTGAATAGAAAGAGCCCAAGAGTCTGAGGTTCAGGAATGGGACTTGATGTTTGCTAAGTCTGCCATGTTGTAGGTCTCTATTCTCCTTAGTGAGGAGACTCTGGCTTTGTGTGCCAGATTTGCCCATTTCTAGAAGTGTGATTTTGGTTGGGTTCTTTCTAAATCTCAGATTTTTATTTTAGGCTTAGTGGTAGAACCTATTTCATGAGGTTGTGTTGAGTATTAAATGAGAAATGTTGATAAAATACTTAGCATGGTATCTGACACTGAATAAGCGTTTCATAAACATTAGCTGTCATTACTGCTACTTGTTAGGAATTTTCCAGATAAGGAAACTAAAACTTAAGGAAGATAAAGAACTTGCTCAAGGGTCATACAGTTAAAAATTGCAAAGCTGAGAGCCAAGCCCTGAGTACCCATGTCCTTTCTCCTGGACAGCAGTCCTTGGAGCAAGCCACTATGCTGGGCCTTTGTTCTTATATCTGTCACATTATGGGGTGCAACCAGATGGTCTTAAAGCCCTTGTGGTGCTCAGATTCTGAGTATCTATGGTTATAACTTGTGTGTCCTTATACCTGGTCCATCACCATAGCCTGAAAATAAATATTAAAAGGGAAGACATTCTAGCAGGTTAGCATAGGCACATACTGTTGGTTTACCATGGGTCCACCCTGGGTCTACGCCTACAGCTGAGGGTACCAGGACCCCTGTGCTGGCAGTTGGCAATGGTAATGGGGATATAATAAAAGGGAGAAGTGAGGATTTGGGAGGCAGGGATTCTGTGCAGGAATTACCTGGAAGTGCTGGGAATAGGGCTCTCTTCAGAAACAGCTGCATCGCATTTCCACTCTTGGCCTGGCTCTGAGGTCTTGCTCTCCTGGGACAACTTTGGGCTCATACACAATTAAACAGGAGTTGGCTTTTGATAGTCAGAGTCACAGAAGTAGAAACGCAAGTGGTCCCTCTCAGCTGCGTCAGATCACCAGATGTTGGAGGTTTGGGCCGGGGGTGTGGAAGGGAAAGCACATCATCTAAGTATTACTTCATTAACATTTTCTGTTACTATTGCCCGTTGTCATTAACAAGAACATAAGTTGTAATTCAAGTTATCCAGTCACATCTTAGTACAATGAGTGTGAATTCCCACAAGGCAACGCCCTGCCTTTTAGCCGGTTTTTCTCTTCCTTCATCTGTGGAGTGTATGCTGCCTGGTTGTCATAAACACATATGAGATTTATAGGACTGGGAGTGGGCATCTCTTATCTTTGTGACAATTAGAGTAAGCAGATCTGTATCAACAGTTGAAGTGTTACAAACTCTCATGTCATTTGATTTAAAATAAATACCCACTCACATGCATTTTAAACTAAAATATAGTTGCTGTCTGGAGTTTTAATTTTTGGTATAATTATATTACCGACCCTCTCCCATTTACACAAATAAATTAAATTTGATAGTTTTGTGATTGGTATAGGCTTTCATCTTTTTAATGAATGATCTCAAGGGCATTTTAGCAAAAGTAAAATTCCTCATTAGATAAGGCAAAAAAAATTCATACCTTGATATTCAAGCCCATGTGGTCTTTAATATGTAAACCTTATGAAAGACAAAGATGAGTATTTATTTCTTTGGTTTTTGACATATTAAAGAGGAGTGACAAATGATAAATAGGATGGTCAGAATGGCACTGACACAAAAGGTTTTCCGGCTTACTTAACGTGGAAGAAGTTTCTGGCTGTGCCTCAAGGCACTGAGGGAATTCTCTAGTCATTCTGTCAACAGTGGAGAGGAAGGGTGTGTGGCTGTGATGAAACAGCATGAATTTCTAAAGAATCACCAGGCTTCTCTCTTAAGAGCTGAATCTAGAACTCGATGAGATTTTCTACATTACGATTTGTTTCCAGTTTTACTGAGAAATAATTGACATTCACCACTAAGTTTAAGGTGTACAGCATGATGCTTTGATTTACATGTACTGTGAAGTGATGACCACAATAGATGCAGCCAACATCCATCTTCTCGTTTATGTGCAATAAAAAGAATTCCTATAGATACAACAAAAAGAAAAACAAAGGGAAGAAACATTTGTTTGCTTGTAATGAGAACACTTAGGCTCTACTCTCTTAACACCTTTTCTGTATATTATACAGCAGTGTTACCTGTAGTCACCATGTTGTACATTAGCTACTCATTTATCTTATAGCTGCAAGTTTGTACCTTCTGACTACTTTGTAATTTTTGCTGGTGTATTTTGACATTAATATATTTATTTGCCACTTTGGTGACAAGACCATTATCCCTTAGAAGTCCTAAGAAATTTTTAAAAAATTAGATCCTTTATTTTATTTTTTAATTTTTTAAATGTTTTCTTTAATTTTTGAGAGAAAGAGAGACAGAATGAGCAGGGGAGGGGCAGAGAGAGAGAGAGAGGGAGACACAGAATCTGAAGCAGGCTCCAGGCTCTGAGTTGTCAGCACAGAGCCGGACGTGGGGCTTGAACTTGTGAACTGCCAGATCATGACCTGAGCCAAAGTGGATGTTCAACTGACTGAGCCACCCAGGGGCCCCTAGATCCTTTAAAATTAAAGAAAATTTAAAATATTTAGGATAATTTGTTCTTAAAAGTGAAAAAAACTTATTGAAATATTGGAAATTAATACTCCCAAATTGTTTTTCAGTTGCCCAAAATGTCATCAGAATGGGGAAACATCATGTGCCGATCGAGGATGTAGATGTGGAGGTTATGGCCAAACCGGTTCCATTAAATCCGGGAGTCAGATTCCAGGTAATATGGTGATCAAAAAGCTTTTTAGAATTCTCTTATGTGAACACCTTTCTCATCCAGATTTCTGAATATGAAATGATTTCCCAGGCTCATGTAGAAGTGTCTAAGGTGAAGATCAATGTTACTGAAATTCCTGATGAATTGCCTGAAGATCAGATGAGAGACAAGCTAGAACTGAGCTTTTCTAAGTCCCGAAATGGAGGTGGAGAAGTGCTGTGCGTGCAGTATGATAAGCAGTCCCAGAGTGCTGTGATCACATTTTTGGAAACTGGAGGTATTCACACATTTAAGAATTTAAAAAATACTCTACTATTTATATTTATGTTCTGCCATTTCTTTTTTTTAAAGTTCATTCATTTTTGAGAGATGGAAAGAGACAGAGTATGAGGGGGGGAGGGCAGCGAGAGAGGGAGACAAAGAATCTGAAGCAGGCTCCAGGCTCTGAGCTGTCAGCACAGAGCCTGATGTGGGGCTTGAACCTACAGACCACAAGATCATGACCTGAGCTGAGCCATCCAGGCGCTCCTATGTTCTGCCATTTCTGAAAGTATTACTTTGCTACTTCTTCTGTTTTGAATTTATTGGGTAGAATAATATTAGATTTTTTAAAAAAACTTTTTAAAATGGTGGAGTCCTTCTCAGGACTTCCGTGAATGCTACTGAGAATAATTTTCATACAACAACTACATCAATCTTAATGCATTCTCAGCACATGCCAGGAAGGAGCCGGATGTTCTATGCATGTGTCTCCTCTGGTCCACAGCACAACTCTGGAGACAGGTGTTGTACCCATTTTATTGATGAGGAAACTGAGTCCTAGGGAGGGTAATAATGGGCCCAAAATCACAGTGAGTATGTGACAGAGAAATTTAGAAATACATATGTATAAACTGTCACTTCCTGTCCCACCTATTACAATGGACAGTGGTTTCTTAGCTGGAGGGAATAGATTCCAGGAAAGGCAAGACATGAATGGAAAGAACACTTAGACATCTGTTCCCTTTTTAGGTAGATATGGATTTTTTACCAAATCATCTGTGAGAGGGTTTACATTCTCATGATTAAAAATACACAGTTTGGGGTGTCTGACTTCAGCTCAGGTCATAGCCTTACAGTTTGTGGGTTCAAGCCCCTCAGTGCGCTCTGTGCTGACACTACAGAGCCTGGAGCCTGCTTCAGGTTCTGTGTCTCCCTCTTTCTCTACCCTATCTCCCCCTCAAAAAATAAACATAAAATTTTTTTTTAAAAATACACGATTCTACAGCAGCTGCTTTTGTTAATATGTTCAAGTGATTTTCAATGTAAAAATATCTTGCTCTAGTTAATCCAATTCTTAGGGTTTCTCCTGGGTTGGCACATAAGAAAAGAAGTCCAGCTATACAATTTAAAAAACATTGACTGATTGCTTTTTCATAACAAAGTAATACATGTTTTGTAAAGAAACCCGATAATAAAGAAGAGAAGGGGCTCCTGGCTGGCTCAGTTGATGCACCATGCGACTCTTGATCTTGGGGTTGTGGGTTCGAGCCCCACATTGAGTGTAGACATTACTTAAAAAAAATAAAATGTTAAAAAAAAAAGAGTTAATTTAGTAAAAATGGAGACATTTCCTTAAACTTGTCTTTCTCCTACGATTTAGTTATTTATGGTTACTTGGGTGTCTTGCTAGATCTTTCTGGAAATCCTGGATCATATGGTGATTCTGTGTTTAATGTTTTGAGATCACACACTATTTTCTGCAGTGGCTCTACCATTTCACATTCCTACCAGCACTGGACCAGGGTTTCAATTTTTCCACATCCTTGTCAGCAGGGGCCTGCACCGTAGTGCCCATCCAGCATGCACTGGTGAGAGGGGAAAAAGCACAGTGATGGGACACTTAAGAACTGTTTATGTTAAACTTTATGCAGTCTGAAACATTATCTTTTTCCCCCTCTAGGAGAAAAATGCTGCTCAAAAAAAATCTGATTATTCTTTGTGTTGGAGAAAATCGGTGAATGTTTGTTATTTGCTTTCACTTTCTAGATAAGAATCAAATCCCTCCCCTCTGTTGGTTAACATCATTATATGGGCTTACTGAAAAATATCATATATTAGTTACAGGATAACTAAGTAATTTATATAACTAAGTAATATATATAAAAGTAATTTTACATATTGTAGTAATACAGTAATTATATATGTGTGTATACATATATTATAAAATATATATACAGTATTCTTTTTTTTAAAGTTTACTTATTTATTTTGAGAGAGAGAGAGAGGGCATGCACAAGCAGGGGAGGGACAGAGAGGGAAAGAGAGAGAATCCCACACAGGGCTCAAACTCATGAACCGTGAGATCATGATTGGAGCTGAAATCAAGTGTTGGACGCTTATCCGACTGAGCCACCTAGGTGTGCCTATGTACAGTACTCTAATCATAGTTTTCAATTATACTTCTTGAGAAACTGGGAAACTCACAGTCTTGTTAGGATGGGTGGGCTATTTTTTGCAGATAGTTGTTGTATTTTATATATATCAAAGTAGATCTGTGCGGACATCGCTGGCACCCCTATGATTTCAAAATTATGTACTATGAAGTCTTTATTTTTATTTTTATTTTTTTATTTTATTTTTTTAGTGTTTATGTATTTTTTGAGAGACAGAGATAGAGTGTGAGTAGGGGAGATACAGACAGAGGGGGAGAAACAAAATCTGAAGCAGGCTCCAAGCTGTCAGCACAGAGCCTGACATGGGGCTCGAACCCACAAGCTGTGAGATCATGACCTGAGCCAAAGTCAGCTGCTTTAACTGATTGAGCCACCCAGGCACTGCATGTACTACAAAGTCTTTAAAGTGGACTGTTGAATTTTTTGTAGAATTTTTAAAAATGTAATTACTCAATTCATTATTTACCATAATGTTCCATTTGAAGAAAGTTTTAACTTTGGTTAAAAATATTTATGATATAAAAAAGAAAATAATTAAAAAATATCTACTTCTAGTTGCTGACAAGATTTTGAAAAAGAAAGAATATCCGCTTTGTATAAATCAGAAGTGCTATAAGGTTATTGTTTCTCCATACATAGAAACAGACTTGAAAAATTATCAGGTAAAGTCATCTCTTTTCTTTCATATTGAGAACTTCTTGCTTAACCCCACCCCACAAGAAATAAAGAAAAAGCTGTGTCTGTTGCTGTTTGAAACTTATTAGTGAGCAACATCAAAATAGTTTCTTCAGATATCCTTGGTGCAAAATTAGTGTGTCTTTTTAAAAAATAGTTTAGTGTGAAACTATACCTTATTTAATTTATTATACTCTTTTTTAAAACTGAAAGTACTCAGATAATGGCATAATATTTTCGTATGTGGAGACATAGCTACAATTTCTTTCACGTGTCTACTGTTATTGAGCATTAAAAATAACTCTTCCTGCTTATTTTCTCTGAGCTCATTATCTTTACCCCAGACCTACTCCTTTTTTCTGTTCCTTCTCAGGTGCTAAATGGCACCTCTACATAGTCCACCAGCCTGAAAGCTACAACTCATGCTTAATTCTTCATTTCGCTTCACCTCCAACATTCATTTGGTCATTCAGTCTTGTTACTGCTACCTCTGACTACCTCTCTCACTATGGTCCTTCTGTCCGTAGATATGCCCTTCTTTCCTTTATTTATCCTAATGCCACCTGAGTTATCTTTCTGAAACTCAGATCCGACTTGTATGTTCTCTTGCTTGAAAAGCCTTCCTGAGGCGTCTTGTTGGTTAAGGTCCAAAATATTAAGCAGAGCTTATACATAGAAAGTTTTTCAATTCAAAGCTCTTAGAAAAGTTTCTATTTATCTTTTGTATTTTCCTTCTTAGGCATTTTCAGGAATATCTAAGAGGACAGTGCTTCTCACTGGAATGGAAAATCTTCAGATGGTGGATGAAGAAATTTTAGAGGATTTAGTTAACATTTACTTTCAACGGGAGACGAATGGAGGCGGAGAAGTAGAAGTGGTCAAATGTTGTCTGGGTCAGCCTTGCATAGCATACTTTGAAGACTAGAGGCATGGAATTAGATGAATATTAGAGCTTCTGAGCCCAAAGCGCTATCAATGTGTGACAAAAATGAATATCCCTTTCCTTTAAAAAATGTAAACTTTAATTCTTTAAAAAAATTTTTCTTAGATGTTTACTTTTGAGAGACAGAGACAGAGCATGAGCCGGGGAGGGGCAGAGAGAGAGGGAGACACAGAATCAGAAACGGGCTCTAGGCTCTGAGCTGTCAGCACAGAGCCTGACACAGGTCCCAAACCCACGAACTGTGAGATCATGACCTGAGCCAAAGTCGGACACTCAACCGACTGAGTCACCCAGGCGCCCTGAAAACTTTAATTCATTAGTGTCCATTTATTCTTAGATATAAAATATATTTCCATGTTTTTGAATTCTTTTTTCAAACTTTGCTATGTGCTTGCAAATGCAATAAATGCACTGTATTAAAAACAATTTTGTTTGTTCGTAAATGATGTGGCTGGGTCCTATGTCCATTGAAACCAGTAAGTGACACAGTTGTCCCCCTGCTGTGTTAGCTCATTCTATCATGGGCGTGTGGGCCAATTCTCTTTTGGCCCCAGGTCCACTGATATGCAGACTTCACTGAACATTTCCCAAAGAAATGTTACTTTCAGCTGTTTGTGATTTCTGTAAACTTTGAATTTCAAGGGACCTCAAGGGTGATCATTTCCCACTTTCCCACTGTATAGCATTTTTCTCCACAGCCCCAAAGATATTTTTCAGAGCTGAGTGTGGTCTTTTTATTTAAAATTTTCTTCTCCCAGAGTGCCAGTGTCTCCCCTGCTTCTTTCTAAGATGCTTTCTCCAAATAGAACTTGTAAAGGCCCTAATTGTCTTTCCTTTACACTTAAAATGGGAAGAATAAGCTTAAGGAAATGACATCCTAAGAATAAAGGGAAAGTAAATGCAAAGCTAGTGGCTCCTCACTCGTCATGTTGAATACTGGGGGTGCCTGAAGATGCAAGCACATACCTGCTGTTTAGGGGCTTACATTTCAGTTTGAGAGAGACCCAGTTCCTTAGCATCCCACTGTTTTTAAGTTGTAAAAACAGTAAAATGCAAGGTTTCTATTCAGAGAAGGTAAAATCTTTTTGGTAAAGAACATGGGAACAGCTTTTATCCTAATATGATATGTTTCATAAGGAGCCAATGGCAGAAGTAAATTTATATTAAAATGCTGGCAGAAATGAAATGCTTACTTAAACTTACCTAATTCTGCCTGCCATCTAAAGTAAAGGAAAAGAGCACCTGGGTGGCTGAGCCGGTTAAGCACCTTATTCCGAATTTCAGCTCAGGTCATCATTTCATGATTTGTGAGTTTGAGCCCTGGAACAGGCTTTGTGCTGATGGTGTGGAGCCTGCTTGGGATCATCTCTCCCTCTTTCTGCCCCTCCCTGTGGTCACACTCTCTCTCCTTCTCTCTCAAAATAAATAAACTTAAAGAAGTACTCATTGCTTTCACATTTCCTTTTAGGTTGAGAGATGGTGCCTAAAAACTGGGAGATTTATAATAAATCTTTATATTCACTGTTTTAGGGGAAAAATCTCTCATATATCAGCTATTCTTTGGGAACAGTAAGATTATTTCAAGTTCCTCAAAATATTAAGAAAAATTTGAAGAACCTTATTTAATTTTGATTGGCCCAAAATGTGTCATTTTTAGTCTGTGGCAGACTGCCAATGAGAAATAATTTTTTTTCCTAATATTTAAGGAATGGTCACTTGTGTTTCTTTTGGGAGCATTTTTTCAGCAGCAAAATAGATAATTTCATTCAATTCTAAGTATTCAAAAATTTTTGATAAATGTTTTTGATAAATGTTACTTACTGTAGAAAATCAGACTTTTCCACTGGGCTCCTTTCACCAATTCCACCCTTGTGTGATCAATCTGGCCAGATCTCAAGCATTGACTCTCCCGCCTATTTCTAGACTTTGAGAGATTTTACAGGAAGAAAGTTTCCTTTGAGAATTGGCCAAAAGATACCATATCAACTATTGCACATTAAGTTAGGAAGCCTTAGATTGTCTAGGATGAGATAGCTCTACTTAATGTGTGAAAACACACTGTCGGCATATAAGTGAGGAAAGATAATATGTGAAATCAAAAGTCCGTCTTTCCCTTTGTAGATTTATCAGTTAGGATAGCTTACGTTATGTTGTATTAACAACCTCCCAAATCTCTGAGTCCTAGTGAAACTAAAGGTTAATTCTCATTCATGGTGAATGTCCAACAGAGGTTGGTAGGGGAATCTTTTTGTCCTAATCACACAAGGCCCCATCTTGAGACACATTTCCCGAATCATGGAGGTGGAGAAAAATGAAGTCTGTGGAGTCTTGAACCAGCAATTAAATGCTGTAATTTAGAAGTGCTGATGTCATTTTGTCTCACATCTCATTGGCCAGAAATAGTCATATGACCTCTTAAAACAGAGACTAGAAAATTGTATCTTGTAAAAATGGGGAGAACCAGATATAGTTGAGCCAAAGTACCAATGAATGTAGTTTTTCCTGTCATAGTGAGCATCAATATTTGTTATTTTTGTTTGTTTTTAATTGTTTTTCAATATTTATTTCTGAGAAAGAGAGATTGCATGACCAGGGGAGGGGCAGAAAGAGAGGGAGACACAGAATCTGAAGTAGGCTTCAGGCTCTGTGCTGTTAGCACAGAGCCCAATGTGGAGCTTAAACTCTCGAACTGCAAGATCATGACTTGAGCCTAAGTCTAATGCCCAACGGACTGAGCCACCCAGATGCCCCGATCATCAATATTTGAATATTTTTTCATATACAAAATACACTCACACCAAAAAGTTGCACTAAGTCATAGCATCAAACTCAAAAGTGCATGAACTCTAGGTGGTATGTGGTAGTTTTTATAACAAGTCTGAATGTTACTGCTCTCTATCTGGAGACCTCCCTGGTATCCAGTAGTGGAACTGGAACAAGATGACTGCAGTAAACTCTCCCATGTTGAGAAAGGAATAAATAGGACACATATGGTGGCGTCTATGCCAAAGCCATTCTGAAATCTCGCCGAGTAGGTAAATACTCTGTACCCCCTGGATGTGGAATTTTGATTAGGCTGTGATTCCACTCTGGAAATTCTTCTCTTACTCATTGTCCACATTGCTTCTGGACATTCTTCTTTTTCCATTATATTCCTTTACCATATCTAGAATATATCCTTGTTGGAAGCTGAAAAGTTTACTTACTCTGTACACTATGATCAATGTGATCAATGTTTGGGACCAAAGTTTTTAAAGTTTTGAACCATTACAGTCCCTTTTCTCTGGCTGGTGGCTAGTTGGCTGGTATAATTTAAAAACTTAATAGGCTTCTTAATCTATTTTATTTGGGTCAGCTTCCATGTGTTAATAGCCACACTCACAGCTTTTTCTAGACTTACTTCTTAGAGTTGCTGTAATTCTCTGCTCTCTTCCCTCTTCTTTTATCTCCCTATCTTTACTTAATGGTAGGTATCAGGCCCCTTTTAGTTTCTTTTCCCTGAGCTAGATTGTCTAGTTGAAAGGGTTTATTGAATTCAGCAACCTTAATTGTTTGTTAGTTATTGTTACTGTTATTTGGAGGGGCCTTAATGTGTTTAGAGATCCAAAGCTTGATTTGATCTTTGATTTGAGCCTCCCAATAAAGCAGAGTTATAATCAGCCTTTGTTACTCAAAGATATTATCATTTGGACATGAAAAATATTGTTCCTTCCAATCCTACAAGTTCCTGTATTTCTGGACTTTGCCTATTCCCTTTCATTCTGTCATTCAAACTGGCTGATTCTTTTCTAAGCCCATTTCTTTTTCATACTTTGTCAAATACACTCAATAGTGACAGACATATGCTACTAATTTTGCTTTTCACACCCTTTTTTTAAAAACAAACGACAAGCTAATTAGGTGCATTATCTGCCTTTCAAGCTATCACATGTGACAGTTTCACCAAATGTTTTCCCACTATCTAATATGGATCACCATCCTTTTAAACTCTGATAATTATTTTCTAATTATGTGACAATTGTCCCCTAAATCAAAGCCATGTATTTTAGATGGTGCTGTGGATTGTCTCCCCCTCCCTCCTTTGGCTAAAGCCAAAGGAATACTCCACTTTAGAATACCAGTTCTGTATCAATCAGGATAGATTACATGATACTCATGTGCCAGATTATCTTTAAGTTTCAGAGACCAAAGCACCAAATTTTTACTCCTTGCTTATGCTACATGTTTATGATGGGTCAACAAAAAGAATGTTCATGGTAAACACTCAGAGACCCAAGCCAACAGCAACCACTATTATTGCTGGATGTCACGCCAGAGGAAAAGAGCTTTGAAGGGTCTTGAAGTGGTAATTAAATTCTTGGTCCAGAATGTCCCTTTCATTCACAACCAGAACTAAGTATATGGTCCCATCCAACTGTAAAGGAGCTTGGATGTACGATCCTATCATATACTTGGAAGGCAGAAAGCCAAAACTGTACAGCAAATGGCATTAATGATATCTGGTTGGTATTGAAAAAAAAAAAAAAGATGCTCATTCTTGAAAGAAACACAAAGTATAATAAAGATAATAAAAATTGTCAAAAATTCACACCTACATAATGATAATATTTTTATGTCCTCCTTTCCAATTTTTTCCCCCAACCATATATCACATTTTTTAAAGGTTAAAATTTTTTTTTAATGTTTATTTATTTTTGAGAAAGGGAGAGAGACAGAGTGTGATCTGGGGAGAGGCAGAGGGAGAGACACAATCTGAAGCAGGCTCCAGGCTCTGAGCTGTCAGCACACAGCTTGATGTGGGGGCTCAAACTCACAAACCGCGAGATCATGACCGGAGCCAAAGTCAGATGCTCAACTGACTGAGACACTCAGGCATCCCTATCACATTTTATTTTGTGAACATACCCTATTTCTAGGGTTACCATTTCCCTGTTGTAGGATATTAAGATTGTTTCTAGTTTTTCATGTTTATAATTGCTATGATGTATATAAATCCTTTTATATCTTATAATATAAATCTTTTTCTGATTCTATTTTAAGGTGATAATTACTAGGTTCATAGGGTGAAGGATATAAGTTCTTTTAAGGATCTTGATGTGTATGGCTCTAATTGCTTTCAAGAAAGGCA